GGCCAAAAGTCAGTCAGAGTCAAGTTTAGTGAATAAGATTTGTGATCAAACTAGGTGGCATTACTTGGGTTCAAATGATATATGATTACAGACTAACAAAACTGATTTCCTTGTATGATTTGTAATCTGACTCCAAAGGAAGTTTCAGATATGTAACAAGGAGTATGAGCAATGGAACACACACACACACAGTGGGGCAAAAGTAGGTTTATAGTTGTGAGTATGTGAAGAAAGTTTATTCTTGTATTATAATTTATTAATTATTGTATTATTTCCTATATGAACAACTGCAAACCTACTTTTGCCCCATCCTGTATATATTTCTCTTTTCCCTAAGTATCTTCTTTGAAGGAAAATACACATTTGGATGTATAAACTCTAAGTAAGATTCCCTTTGTTTAATCACAACTTTTTTTTAAATCACGTACAACTTATAAACAGAGGCTCCTTGATATATTGGACCTACTATGTCATGGTGTGGGGGAGGACTGTCATTAAATTAGAGAGGTAGTATGGCATGCAGGAAAGAGCACAGGCTTCAGAAGGAGACCTACTTGTGTTAGAATCCTGACTTGGTCTCTTGCTACCTATGTGACTTTATGGAGGTCACAAGCTCTCTAAGAGTCTGCAAAATAAGGCTAATATCTAACTTGCAGGATTGTTGTAAAGATTCAAGAAAGTAGATACAAAGTACTGACACTGTGTCTGGCATGTGGTAGGTGCCCCATAAGTCACAGCTATTATTAATAACAACCTCAGTATAATCAAGAGACTTTTTTTACTATAGGTGCTTTGAGATGACAGAATGATAGGTAAACAGACATTTAGGTGGCAAGTAGCTCATTGACAGTACCAAAATACATTCAGTACTATTTTTTAAATAATATGTGAATAATATTTTAAATAATTTTTAATACTACGTACAGTATTTTTAAATTACATAACATGTGTCACCAGCAGTATTCCCAGCACACTGACCTTTCACCACTGTCTGAACATACCATGCCCTTCCATGACCCCATGCCTTTGCATAATTTGTGCCTTTCCTGCCCTCTGGGCTGACAAAACCCTGCAATTATATCCTTTAAGATCTAGCTGTGGAACCTTCCCAGCCTGCTCTACACAGAGGTAGTGGCTCTGGCCCTTGTGCTTCTACAGCATTTGGTTCCTGTCTCTGGAATTTCTCTTCCTGTGTTGACCTGTAATTTCTCTTTCCATTTCTGCTTCTTCTGCTGGGCTTGAACGTGGAGATGGACTATATTCCACTTCTTTTTGTACTTAGAGCACATAGCACATCTCTTGGCACACAGTGGGAACTTGGAAGATATTTGAGTAATGATTGCTTTAAATATAAATACTTTACAAACAGACTATTAAAAGGCCAAGTAGCTTCCTTTTGTTAACCATTACCAGCAATCACAGTTCATTTTTTCCTGACTTCAAAAGAGACAAGATGACGTAGACTCCAGAATAACTTTATAAATTGCAGCACATGGAAGTTTCTAAACACTACTGACCTCCTCAGTATTACACACCCACTGGAAGGAATCCCTAGAGCAGGGTTCTTCAGTGCTTTTCTCATTATCTCACACCTGTAAGATGCACCACCACTCTGTCAGGACCTCACTGCAGATGACTCAGAAGGCCTAGCAGAGTCTGCACTGCCTTCAAGCACTGCCTGGCTACCAAGGTAGAAGGTCCTTCTCTCAGCAGCAACTCCACCAAGATATCAGAAAATCCCAATGCTCCATGGGGGAGGGCAGGATGCTAGCTTAATGCCACCTACTCCCAGATCTCTACCTCCTAGGAACACCTTGGAGTCAGACTTTGCCATTTCTCTATACTTCTAATAGTTTGACAATTGACTGAACAGGGCTCCCTATCACTTAGGAAGCCTCGGTAATGCAACAAAGGACTTGGTGGGTCCAGTGAATCTATTTCAGCAAGTCTAATCTGTGTAACTAAAAAGAAATCCATGAACAACCAGTTCTATGCCAGATGGAAACGGGCAAAGGGTCAGCTAGTAGTCTTATGCAAGTGAGTGTTGACACTTGTGAATTATTTCTGCCTCTGCAGTTTTTCAGTGTTGGCAATATAGCAGGGGGTTCAGACTGACAAGATCAAACGTTTGGAAAGGAGATCTGGAGCCATGGCCCATGAACTGGGACCCACGAAACCATGATATTGACTATTTCTGTGACACACATAATCCAAAAAGCAAAAGTAGCCATGTTATGGCATAGTGTCATGGGCTTTCCTGTCTTTCCAATGGAATGCCTGCATTCTGAAGGAGGGAAAAGAATGAGAGGAAAGAGAATCAGGTCACAGATCACCAGGAAAGTAGTGACTGAAGGAAGCAGTTCTAGATTTCTCTCACATGCTCTGGAGAATAATTCATTCATTCATTCTACAAATATTTATTGAGCTAAGTACTATTCCAGATATGCATAATACTATAATGAGTGGAATCCTGACCTTGGCTCCATGGAGCTTATAGGAGGAAAGTATAGTAGGGGAGCATTTAGTAAGGGAGACAGGCATTAATCAAACAAACAGACAAATATAAAGGTGCAATAGGTGCTACGATGGAGGCATACAGTATGATACACAAATTGTACAGATAGGAATAAGTGGGCCAGGTTGGGGAAGTCAGAAGAGTTTCCCTTAGCAAGTAATAAGTGAGCTGAGATCTCGAGGATAAATAGGAGTTAACTAGGTCGGGAGGATAGCAGAAGAAAGCAAAGGGAAATATTCCCAGCAAATAGTACAATATGTGCCAAAATCATGAGGTAGGAAGGAGATGTTGAACTGGTTCTGAAATAAAGGTAGGGAGCAAGGCAGCAGCAATAAGGTTTGAGATCCTTGCACAAGGTATCTCTTGTCTAAATCCCTTAGTTTGCTTTCTAGCTCTTTGGAGGGTCCTCCTCATCAGGGAACAAGGTTAAAGAACATGTCAAAAACTAGGGGTGCCCACAAGACATGACACACCACCAGCTAAAAAGAAATAAGACTTGCCGATATTCCCTTGCCACTGTCTTAGTAGTCACCACTGTGAGGTAACACCATTCATTCCCACTGATTCAGGAAAGTGGCACCCTATAAAATATTTTTAAACTTTTCAGGTAGAATTAAACCATTGATAAATATGTTGATGATTACTAAAACTCTTGTATTTCATTGTAATTTTCATATATCAGTATGTATTTGGGGGGTGGGGAGAAGTTATAGAAAAAATGGCTAAAGATGTTATCTGTGCAGCACTATTTTGCTTTGGCAACTCTGACAGCCAGTTATACCACTCCTTGAAGTTCTTTGTAGCTTCTGAACTATCTATCACCTTACAAAATAGTCCTAGATCTTTCTATTTGTAAAGCACTTTGCAGTCAATCATTAATTTGGCCTCCCTATCCTAATGAGAGATTATACTCATTCTACAGATAAAATGGACAGGTAAGTGAGTGACCCAAGGATGCAAAACAATTCTTGTTTGACTTATCTTTCTTATCACCCTCACCAAACAATGCAAACACCCAAGGCCCATCCAACTCCAGCAAAGATCTTGCTAACCTGAAAACCAGTTCTAACTCCTACAAGCAGCACAGGAAGACATTGCAGTTTGTTTTTCATTATCTGCTCTCAACAAGATCCTCTATGCAGAGTGCCTTCGAGGCCAACAAGATCATGACTACATTGATTAGGACACTGGCACTCCAGACCCAAATATGAACTCACAATGACTAGGAAGTCACAATGGCTCATAGCTTAAAATGTCACTGTCCCTAAGAAGACTGCACTCCCAACTCACTCTCTCTCTCTCTCTCTTCTTCCTACCCCAGACTTCCTTTCATCCCCCACAAGTGGTCCAGACAGTGGGCTCTACTGGGTTCCCACAGTACAATACTGCGCAGTGCTATAAACCATCTATTCGTGTGCCCTTCTCCACCCTCAAGCTGAAACCTCCCAGCAGCTGAAGCACCTGACATAAGACCTTGCATACAACAGGTTTACTGAATGCATGGCTTCCCACCAGGAAATAAGGGAAATAGGTACACTCTTCATAGAGTAGTGGACTTAAAGAGATCAATTGGGCCAATTCCTTACCTTTCAGATGAGCAGAGAATCACCTAGATACATATGGCCTGGTGTCCAATCCAGGTCTGCTGGACCAGATTAGTTCCCTAACATTTCATAAGTGCCTACTATTTGTTAGACATGGTGGGAGGTTCTGGAGATAGAGAGATGAGCAGGAGATGGTCTCTGCCTCGGGGAACTCATAGCCTGATGGAGGGAACAGTTACAGAACATTTGGGCAAGTGCAAGGACAGATTCTTGATTTCTTAGCCAGTGTTCTAACTCCACACTGTTCACTGATATTCCCCAACTGTGAAATAGGACAACAATATTTACTTCCTGCAAATAAACTTATAGTGAATACATGAGAAAAAGCCTATGGAAAATTGTCAGGTTCACCCCCAAAGGCATTATGTAAGGTATTGCCATACCCTGACATTAACTCCAAGGATTCATGGCTTCAGATATTGGCTCAACAAAGAAGCAAACAAGGGAGGAATGGGTTTACCTCCAAAGAAAACCTCAAGGGCTGAGAATACCTCCGGATAGGAGTGTAAGGACAAGTGAAATGGCACTGGAGCAGGAAATGGGAGGAGGGGCAGGCAATGGGGTGAGAGAAGCTGGAACGGAGAGGGGGGATTTGGGACAGCATTGACGGAGGGCACTCCAAGAAGAAAGGGATTCTCTCTGGGCAGGGCGGGGGCCCGAGCTGCGAGATTCTAAACAGTGCCAAGGGCCAGAGGACTGAAGGCACGGGGCGCGGGAGGAGGAAGTGGGCCTGCGCTGAAACCCTGTTTTCCTAAAGAGTCTCTTGCACCCCCAGGGAATCTCAGGAAGGCGCCCAGGGCTGCAGGTGCCTGGCCTCCCGCTGCAGCATCCTACCCGCTATGCCCCCCTCCCCCCCCAGAGCCGACCCTGCGGCGCCTCACCTTGGGTTGAAGTCCTGGAAAAGGCCCCTCAGGTTCATGGCGAACTTCACCGCGGCAGCCTCCTCCTTCCCCCGTGCCCTGCGCCGCGCAGCCTGCGCGTTACAACGGGTTCATGGTGCGCGCGCCAGTCCTGTCCCCTTTGCTGCCTCCTCCACCGCCGCCACTCTGAGAAATCTGAGCCACCGCCTCCCTCCCCTCCTTCCGGGCTGCCGTACAGGAGCTGCGCATGCGCTCTAGGCCCCGCCGGCCTACTCTGGGGAGCGCCAGGGGTCCTTCGCTCTCCCCTCGCAGTGTGCTGAAGAGATTGTGGGGTCTAGAAGCTGGTTGAAACCAGGGTCCTGGGGAGGGGCGGAGAACCGGGTGAAGATGCCCGCTAGTTGCAGGCTTGCGGGAACGGAGCGGGCAGCCTAGGAGGCCTTTGAGATCACCTGTCGCCTTAGACCAGCTGCCTTCTGGACAGTTCCCCTCGTGAGCACTAAGCCTCCTGGGGAAAGGAGGTAGTGGCCAAGGGTGACACGTTGCATTTTGGCGATCTTAACCCAGCCTTCACCTGTCAGATGTGTTAGCGACTCCAAAGTCAGCTTCTCATCTTCCCTCCCCAAGGCCTACACCTCCTGGATTGCCTCCCCTTTGGCAGCAGACCTATTCACGGGTGGGGATGGGGATGCCCAAACTGGAAATCTGGGAATAATCCTTGCTTTGCTAACTTAATTCAGACACTCTTTGACTTCTACCTAGACGTTTTGGTCACCTCACATCTGGCCTCTTCTGCCATTCCAGACCTTAGATTTTAAATTCCCAGGTCCGTCTTCATTGGACCAGTCAATATCTTTGAGCCTCAATTTTTCTCCTCTACAAAATGGAGATGTTGAAACCTACTTTCTAAACTTGTTGGGAAGATTCCATGACAGCTTGCATAACACACTGCCGGATTCACGCTAGTTGCTCAAAGAATGCTGTTGCTATCTGGTACTCTTGCAGTCGCCTACCTTCTCAAGGAGTCTATTTACTTTTGGAATTGAAGAGCAGGATAAGCTCACAGCAGGTGACTTAGTCTACCTTCTTCACTTCCTTCCAGATAATTTAAGAGTTTTCATGAGCACAATACCTTATATATTAGTCTGGTATCATTGATAATGATCATTGTTTCAATACCAGAGTTTCATGAATGGCAATTTTATATGAGTTAGCCCTGGGGGCACCTTGAGAAAATAACAATTATGATATTCATACATTGCTGTGATATATCACCTTTCTTCTGAGAACTTGAAAACATTTCACAAGTAGTAATTAAGCTTCCCAAACCCATTGGGAAATGGATATTATTATATGAGCTGGTTTTAAGGATGAGTAACCAGAATTAAGTTTGTCAGCTGCTGAAGTACCAGGGCCCTGTCCAGAGTTTTTGGTTCACCTCCCCTGCTCATCCTTAGGTGGAGTCAAGTGTCTACCCGTGAGGAGGTTTCCAATGAACATTTAAATACAGGAAATAAAATTGAGGCACAGAGAAGCTTGAAAATGTTCCCTGAGCCACCCAGCTAGTAAGGATGTAGGAGCAAAGATGCAAAATAGGGTTTGGCTGAACTGGCAACCCACACGCTGCTGGAAAAAGATACTTGACAGTGGCCAGATTGGCTGGCACCATCTTAATTACCTTCAGACTCACTCCAAAAAGGCATTAAGGAGTAAAATTGCTTGTCTGTTAAGACACTTGAATAGCAGACATCGTTGCCCTTTCAAGAGTTTCACAGACACCAGGCAGGCTGTCAGAGTGTAGAGCCTCAAGGACAGGTACTACTTTGGTGATGTCCCAGGGTGTCCTAGAGCTGAACCAACTGTTCTTCAGGAAGGACCACAGTTGGCCCAGAGATAACCAGGTTTGGGGGTAATGTTTAGTCTAAGGAATAGGACATGAATATACAACAAATTGTCAATGTATTATTTTGCTCCGACAAACCAAATTGCCAAAGGCAGCATACAAACCTATCCATAAGGATATAAAATGAATAGGACTAAACCAAGGCCTCCCATCCCCAATATTTGAGAAGTATGTGTACCTGCACTGCTTCACATTTGCTAATGCTCTCATGGAAAGGAAAGTTGTCCTGCGGCTCACTCCCTTGGGCAGGCTGGATTGGATGTCAGGCACATGACAAGCCATCAGTTTCTTGTAAAGCTCCCATGGGCCAATACTCTCATACATCAACACAGGGGTCTCTATGGGACCATTTTGGATAGACACTCAGGGTGCTAAACAAACATGGATTTATCCCTGATTCTGCCTTGTGGATGCCCCTTGGTGTCACATCCTACATCCTGCCACCAGCATAGCCCTATCCCTATGCCCAGGCCTAACTCAGAGACCAAAGACAGTCTGAGACTTTGGACCTATTGTTTGCTAGCCAAGATCCAAGGACAGCGTCCAGGCATAGTTTGCACAGAGGATGGCAGGCGAGATGCAGGCAGGACGTCAGTTCCTTGCCTAGGAGGGTGGAGTTGAGAGCAGGTTCTAGCCCTGGCTGGGGAATGGCTACATCTCAGGGGAGCAGGACTATGGTCTACACCCGTCAACACAGCTGCTCACGGGGCAGGCTCAGGGCATTGAGAGAATGTCAGACATTCCCACTGATGAGGAGTGGGGCTCCTGTGTGCTCTGCCCCACCTTGGTCAGGACTGGCTGGGCACCTGGGTGGTGTGCATCTGCACAGAAGCTGCTATACAGCATGCTGCACACTGAAAAGGCCTCCCTGAAGAACCTGGGAGATGCTTGGGGAGACCCAGCTTCCTCTGCCCTGTGGTTCATAGCCCCTTGTGTGGGCAGTATCACACCAGTCAGTTCCTTCCAGGAATGGGTATTCAGTGTTTCTAATTTCATCCTGAAGTACCCCACAGAGTTCTGGTTCTGGCACTTATTCCAAGAACACTCATTTCATGATGGGTCCAGGGTTCCAGCTCACCTACACCTGCATCTGCCCAAGTTCTTCTGCAGACAAGCCCAGGGCAGTTCAGATGGGATCTGGAGGGTGTTCCTCCTTCCAACTCTCCTAAGATTGGTGAGCCTCTTCACAACCTGCATCCTGGGACCCCAAAGCCCTCACTTGACCAGGTCCTTTGCAAAATCTCACATTACTCTAGGGGTATCAGGGGCCTGGGGGAGCATCCTGGTAACCACCCCTGCCACCTACTACAACCTTTAATCGGCTCAAGTTGCCTGTCCGGAGCATCAAGTACCCAGCTGGTTTTGTGGGTGACTGACAAGACACCCCTGCCACCCTCTCTACCTCAGCCTCAGACAGCAACACCCCATAATCTCCTGAACAAGGCTATAAGTTTAATAAAGCATTTGGGCATTACAAAGGGAACTATTTGAAAATAATTTGTACAGTCATCCCTCGCCACTTCATGCTTTGACTTTTGCAGCTTCACTCTATCACAGTTTTTTTCAAATATATTCATTAAAAAGTTGATCGAAGAGAGAAGATGGTGGCAGGCAGGACCTGAGGGAGTGTGAGTGTGTGAGAGAGGGAGCAAGTGTGTGAGAGAGTGTGAGTGGAAATGAAGGTGGAAGACCAAACGCAAGCAATGCAGACCCCAAGAACAGAAGGTTCCTGTGCTGTGAACGGGAGCAGCCAGCTACTGCAGTAAGTGGCACTTTAGGGCGCTTCTACCTGAGCCACAGGGAGGTCCCACCATTTTAGAAGATCCCGGGTCTTCCCTGGGAAGAGGCAGTGGGAGTGGCTAAGGCCCAGCAACCTGAGCCCACCAGCACACCTGGCACCATCGGACCAGTGGACACCCTGTCAACACAGACCAGTGCACAGTAGTGGAGCTCCCAAGGTGCTGGTCATGGAGGCCGCAGGCAGCCTGAAGCCCAGTAACATCCCCCATAGTAGCAGCCTGATCAGAGTCTAGATATACCCCCAGCAACAGAGGCAGGGGAGCAGATACCCATACCCAGGCAACAGAAGCATAGACCAGAAGCTGAGACTTATCCCCAAAAACTACAGCAAAAGCTGAGCAGGAGTTGAGCCCCATGGGGCAGCAGCACTTCCCAGCAGCAAATAGAGGGAACTGGGGCTCCACAGAGGCCTGTGTAATACAGTAGATTACAAGAGCTTTGGGAAACCTGAGCCCCAGAAAGACTGGTGCTATCCACCTGCCCGCCGTCCAGAACTGCAGGGTGCTGAGGCACCAGAGAGGCCATCATAAATTTCGCTGAGTTGTGGCCACAAAGGATGGTGGCCAGTGCGCTCCTTCCCCAAGCTGTGAGGAAAGCAGAAGCCTTCCACCCCTCGGAGATTCAGCCTTTCCCAGATGAGGCAAAGAAATACAAAATGAGGCTTATTAATAACCAGCATCAATCCCACTCTCTGGAAATGCTCTTAGGCAAAACACCAGGAAAACATTCCAAGGCACTTAGTAACTGAGACTACTAGCCATCAGGAAAAAGCCAAAGAATAACTGAACCTTTCCTGGGCTTGCAAATCTACCCAGGAAAGTAAGACTTGACTGTGGTATTTAATGGGGGCCCAACCAGGACCATGCAAAGCCAGTAGATGGAACCACAAACAACAGAACACCAACACCCACAGGGAAAATTTGGCTGACTCCAAAGCCCACTGTGATAGCCAAAATGGTGAAAAACGTAAACAAAAGCTAAATCAAAGAAGAAGGGACCTCTGCCGAAGATGAGATAAATGAGGTGCAGTTAAGCAAGTTAACAGAAATAGAATTCAGAGCCATGATCTTGAGGAAGCTCAACAGCATGTGTAAGGACATGAGCACCATGAGTAAAGACATAGTCATGTTGAAAATCAATCAGTTGGAAATTAAAAACCACCAAGAAGTAATAAAGAATGACATATCAGAAATAAAAAACACATTGGAAGGTGTAAAAAGCAGAGAAGAGGAAGCTGAGGACTGGATCAGTGAATTAGAAGACAGGATAGAAAAAATCAACCAAGCAGAAAACCTAAAGAAAAAAATGATTAAACACAGGAAGACAGCTTAAGAGAACTGTGGGACAACTGGAAAGGTAATGATATTCGCATCATAGGAGTCCCCAAAGAAGAAGAACATGAGCAAGAGTGAGAGAATATATACGAAGAAATAGTGACAGAAAACTTCCCTAATTTGGTGAAGAAAGAAGGCATTCAAGTTCA